TTCTCACTCATAGGTGGGAACTGAACAATGAGAACACTTGGACACAGGGTGGGGAACATCACACACTGGGGTCTGTTGTGGGGTGGGGGGAGGGGGAGAGGGATGGCATTAAGAGAAATACCTATTGTAAATGACGAGTTAATGGGTGCAGCACACCAACATGGCACATGTATACATATGTAACCTGCACGTTGTGCCCATGTACCCTAGAATTTAAAGTAGAATTAAAAAAGAATAATAATAATAGGGTACATGCATACAGATGGCATCAGGCCATCTGTATCATTTTTTGCCTGGCTTCTCTCCCTCAGCATAGTTATTTGCGATTGGTCCATGCCATTGTGATACAAGTCATTCATTTCTTTGACTGCTGAATTGTATTCTGTTGTCTCATGCTTAGTTGAATTGCGGAGTGTGTTCAGTTAGGCATATTGAAGTATTGTTTATATACAAGAACATTTACCCCTTGTGGGTACAGTTGGGTAAGTCCTAACAAAGTCTCACGGATCACCACTGCAGTCAACACGGCACCTGCCCGCCACTCCAGGACCCCTCGCCCATGCCGAAGTCACCAGTCCCCTCTCTCTCTGGGCCCAGCTCCCACCCAGCTGTTCTCTTCACCACAGCTTTGTCTCTTGACGGTATCACGTGCAGGCTTTTGGGATGAGTCCGTGTTGTGTGTGTCATAATTCACAGAATCCTGTTTTATTTCACTTCATTTTCCACCTGAGACTGTTGTAGGTCTAGTGTCGTGAGGGCACACCTCCGGGATGCCTACATCTGTCCTGGCCTGTGTGTCCCGGCTGTGTCCGGGCCTGGCTGCTGCTCCTGTCCACTCTGGTATCCCCCTGGTAGCTGCCCTCCCCTCTGCCCCAGTTTCGGCCCTTTGCCCACTGGGATGAGCCCAGTCATCAGGGCAGCAGGGGTGGCGCTGATTAATTTCCTTAAAGCCGCTGTTTCCTTGATGAGAGTGTTGGGTGATTAAATGGGCACAGGGCCTTGGAGAGTGGCTTGGCTGTGAATAAATGACTGGAGGGAGGATGCTGGCGGGTAGCCTGGTGGCCGAGGGCAGGGTGTCAGCAGGAGTGGCTGCTTATCTGACCAAACGTCAAAAATCAGTGTTTTACAGATGGAAGGATGAGTCGGCTGGGGATGAGGGCAGGGTGGAATGTGTGACCTTTGGGGAGAGCTCGGGGCTTATGATGTCTGCGAAAGAGACCAGGCACATAGAAGCTTCCGATATACGTTAAAGGCTAGTGGCCAAAAAGGAGATTTAAGAGAGACGTTTGGAAAAGGATGAAGACGCAGGTTCTTCCGGGTTGCTGCTCTTCCAGAGCTCTCTCCACGGCTGGGGTGTAGTGACTGTGGGGAGGGGCTGTGTTTTCAGCTTTTTGTCCGTCCCCTCCTTTGTCCTGCTCTGTCCTTGCCGTTTATGGTCTGATGTGTGAGTCTGCCTCTGTCATATTTTGAATGAATGCATGACATTATTGTGCCAGTAACCTGTGCAATTCCTTGTCCCCTTGGTGTAGACCAGTTAAAGACCCTGCAGAGGAATTACGGCAGGCTGCAGCAGGATGTCCTCCAGTTTCAGAAGAACCAGACCAACCTGGAGAGGAAGTTCTCCTACGACCTGTAAGTGCACCTCAGAGTGCGTGCCACAGTGCAGGGTGCCCGCCACCGGGGGCAGGGGGTTAAGCTGAGGGTGGCGGATGGAGACGTAACCTATGATAGAGCATGCACCTTCTGCTCCATGCAGGACTGAGAAAGGCACGGGCCCCCGGGCCCCTCTCGGATTCATGTCCTACACAAACGCACAAGGAGGCCAGCTCTCAGCAGGAAACGAATTTCTCAGCATGCCTTAAAATGTAACTTAAAACCTCTGTCAGGCACAGGTGTACTGGTGAAGTCAACAACATAAAGCTTTAAAAATGTGTTTCACAGGTGCCCACGTGAGCTAAATCAGATTCGTGGACCAAAAGACCTTTTGGCAAAATATTGGTATAGTAATAGTTTATTGCCTGGTGATCACGTTGTGGGCATTTTGTTTTTTTTAGACTTTTCAGTGATTTTCCAAATTTTTGCATTAAGTAGTGAGAATGGAGTACTTTTATAATCAAAGCCAAGCAATATTAAACTATTGAAAAGTGAGCTAAGCCCCGTGGGAAGATAGTAAAAACCACCTTACAGGTCACAGGATAAGGCTGTGTTTATTTTTTCCACTTTTTTCCCTCATAAAAACAACACAGCTAATGTGTAGGCAGTTTGGGATTCAGAGAGAACCAGCCACCCACAGCCCAGCCCTCATGACTGCCCTTTTCCCTTTGACTTAACTCTATCCAGTCCATGCCCAAGTTCACACGAATGTTTACTTAATTGCAGTCATCATCAAAAAAATTTAATCATTCTTTTACTTACTTGTATTATGTATATATGTGTGTGTGTGTATATATATGTATATGTGTGTGTGTGTGTATATATATATATATTTTTTGAGATGGAGTCTCACTCTGTCCCCCAGGCTGGATGGAGTGCAGCAGTGCAATCTCAGCTCACTGCAACCTCCACCTCCCAGATTCAAGCGGTTCTTCTGCCTCAGCCTGCTGAGTAGCTGGGATTACAGGTGTCTGCCACAATACCCGGGGTTTCTACTAAAAGCGTGTCATTGGTCAGGCTGGTTTCAAACTCCTGACCTCATGATCTGCCCACCTCGGCTTCCCAAAGTGCTGGGATTACAGGTGTGAGCCACCGCACCCGGCCACAAAAATTTTATTTTTAAAAGCAAAATTAGGTAGATATACAATGATAAAAAGGGATTTTATTTAAGGATAAAAATATCCATTGCCATAATTTTTCTCCTAAATAATGACAACACATTAGCTATAGGATCTTTTTTTTTTTTGGAGATGGAGTTTCGCTGCTCTGGTTTCCCAGGCTGGAGTGCAGTGGCGCGATCTCGCTTCACTGCAACCTCTGCCTCCTGGGTTCAAGTGATTCTCCTGCCCCAGTCTCCTGAGTAGCTGGGATTACAGGCACGCGCCACCACACCTGATTAATTTTGGTATTTTTAGTAGAGATGGGGTTTCACCATATTGGCCAGGCTGGTCTCAAACGCCTAACCTCAAGTGATCCGTTCGCCTTGGCCTCTCAAAGTGCTGGGATTACAGGTGTGAGCTACTGCGCCCAGCCAGCCTCTTATTTTTTAATTTTTAAATTTAAAAAAGTATATTACTTGGATTATATTTAAAACATCCATATAGCTCCTGTCTTTTAAAAATTACTATTTTGGATTATTTCCTTCTAAAAGGCTCATCTGTAGTTTAGCCTGTTGCTGGGTGTGAATTGTCAAATTGCATTCTGAAAGGATTTGAGCCGTCTGCATGGTCACCAGCAACCTGGGAGAATCAGTTGTCTCACATTCATTGCGTTCTTGGGGATTTCCATGTTCCTCCAAAACATTGTCCACCTGCCGTAATATCTTCCTACTAACTTTATAACCATGTACAACTGAAAACATGAAGCCCCAAGTACATGTCTCTGTAGAGGACATGAGCAGCCAGTCAGTAGAAGGGAAATGTGATTGTCACTCGTGTGTGGAACCTTATTCAGCTATGCCAGTGGTTCTCATGTGGGGGAAGTCTTGTCCCAATAGGCCTTTGGCAATGTTTGGAGACATTTTCGTCTGTCACGGCTTACAAGGAGGCTGCTGCTGGCATCTAGTGGGTAGAAGCCAGGCACACTGCTAAACATCCTATAATCCACAAGATAGCTTCCCACAGTCACGTTTTATCTGGCCTAAAACATATACAGTGCTAAGGCTGAGAAACCTTGAGTTAGGCTGATAATTAAAGAATTGCATTCAGACAGAAATGAAGTACCTCAGTCTTCTTATTCATCCTTAAAGACACCTTAATACAAATATTTCCCTCATATAGATTGAAACATAAAAAGCCACAAATGGCCTCACTTGATAAATGTTGCCCCAGAAGGTTTTGACCTAGCTGGAAATCAGAGCCCAGTGACAAAGAAGGAATCTCTGCTCCCCATGTAGGAGAGCTTGGGCCCAGGCGATGGGTGGACACCTCTAAGCTGGGCTGGAGACACTTGTAGGATGCACTCCTTTTGCTCCTGGCAGGTTGATACCTAGATTGAAAGCTCTTTCTGGCTGCGTCTGTTTCACTACTTGTGCCCAAGGCCCTGTACCAGATATGCGATGCTTCCCAGGGATAATGTTCGTGGAGTGTTGGAAGCAAAAAAGAGCTAGTTATTCTTAACTTTCTTTGGTTTATAGGCCCTTTGAGAGAATCTGATACAAAGTACGAACACTTTGTCAGCAAACTTATAAATGGACACCTGCCTGAAGTGTGCAATTTGTGCAAATTCTTCGGGCCCTCCCTTAATTGTGCACTCCCTGCCTTAAAACATCCTGTCTGGTCTAATCCTTCTATAGAAGGCAGTGCCAAGAACACAAAAGCTGATGGAAAGGCCAGGTTTCCTGATGTACAAGGTAGTGTTCTTAGCGTTCTTTCTGTTCGAATCAGCCAGCACACATCCCACTTTTTACTCTCCTACACCTGTGGCAGGCATCACTAAGCAATCACTGCTCTCCATCTGAAAATAGCCTTGCGTTCTTTCTCCCTGAAACACCTGGAGTCAGCACATGAGACGAACCACTCGCCATCTCATCTCCCTGCTATGAGGAGACAGTTTCCAGTGTTGATACTGGAACGTAAAGTAATACAGTGATGGTCGGTGCCCTGGGTGATGGAATCACCTGCCCCGATAGATCCTTGTAGTGAACACATTCCATCAGTGGTACTCTGGCCATCAGTTGCCCCAGTTAGAATAATCACTAGTGGCCAAGTCCTGTATTTCTCTCCAATTTAGCTCCAGTTAGTGCTGGAATATTTGCCAGTTACATGTAAGAAAAAGCCAACCTGAGTCTTCAGAAAGAAACGCTATCACAATCTGCATGACCTTTGTCTCAGAATTGAGGATGGAGGTAGTTCGGCTCCTGGCTCTCAAGCTGGAACGTGGAAAGCCGCACTTCATCTGCAAGGCTGGGAGATAAAGGCTCTTTGTACTTGATTTTAGCGGGGCTGGGAGCTGGGGCAACCAGTACTTCCCCTTTGCAGGTTTAAAGGTTCAGGGATAGCAAATGACCTGCTCATTCAGTTCTACAGTATACAGACAGCTTTTTGTTCGCTCTGTTTCGGCTCCTGTGCACTAGTCTACCACCTGTGGCTTGTATGTTTGTGAGCATTGTATTTAAATGAAATTTTCACCTGATCTCTCAGCTGTCCCAGGTCAGGAACTCTGCACTGCATTATTTCCGCAGCACCTGGTACTCTTCTCTGTGTGTGGTACATTGTGACCCCATGGTGCTTTGCACTGAAGGGTATATTCCAAGAGTCAGAGGTTGAGTGTGGTCCTCACTCACATTTGGCTCTGAAATGCCTGCGACTCAGAAAAGGCGAGCTGTGTGGTGGAGAGAGCACGACAGGAAAGTGCCCTGGAGTCTGGCTTCGGTTTCCGCCTGTCTCTGACACTGGTCCGTGCCAGACAACCGTGTCACCCCTTAGCATTCTTATTTACAAAATGAGTGGGTAATTCTCCTAATTACTTCATAGCTCTGGCACTTGTCGAAATACTCTTCAGATAAATTCCAGGCAGAAAGCTGAAGCAACGCAACAACAATTCAGCTGAGTGTCCTCCAGTTCAAGTTTTGATACTACCCACTTAGCACAGACCCCCCGGGTTAAGGGGCTCCACCCCACACGCCTGCTCCCACTTCAGATGCCAGCCACAAGTCCCACGTGTCCCCCAGCCCCCCTCACTTCTGCCTGGCTGGCCACAGCTTTAGGATTACCCACCACCCCCTCAGGTTTGATCATTTGCCAGAATGACTGTCACGGAATTCAGGAAAGCTGTTTTGACTTTTACACAACAGCCCAGTGGTAGAGTCCTAAGGTGAGGGCTGGTGCCATGGGGGGGACAGGAGCGGCCGCCCCGTGGAGTCAGCCATTCCCATCCAGTGCATCATGATATTCCCCAGCCCGAAAGCTCCCTAAGCCTTGTGGTCTGGAGTTTGAGTCTTCTATATAGCATGATTCATAAAACTGCCAGCCACGGGGTTGAACTCAATCTCCAGTCCTTCTCCCCACCCCGGAGGAGGTGGAGCTGAAAGTTCCAACTTTCCAGTCCTGTGGCGGGTTCTTCTGGCAGTCAGCCTCCGTCCTGAAACTCTCTGACGCCCATCCTTCCCCACTCCCAAGACCCCTCATTAGTATAAACTCAAGTCTGGTCCAGAGGGGCTGGTTGTGACGAGCCAGATACCCCCTCAGGAACTTCCAAGGGTTTTAAGAGCTCTGTGGCAGTAGCCAGGGACGAAGACCAAAACATATATGTACTTTTTTATTCTACAGATTGTATGTTAAAAAAATTTTTTTCCTAATCAGTAAAGTTCACTGCTTTAGAACAATGGGATGATTATTTTTAGTGTGTTTCTTTTGGTTGTTTAATCGTTGAACGCACACATGTTGCCCTGTCTTAAGCGCGCTCTTCAGATGAAGCGCCTGACGCCGGAAGACGGTCTGTGTCTCTTACGGAAGTGGATGTCACCATCCAGCAGAGACACAGCCACAGACATCAGGCCCTTCCTTTGCTTTCTCTCACCAAAGGAGCCAGTGCATCAGTCAGATGAAGGAGGTGAAGGAACAGTGTGAGGAGCGAATAGAAGAGGTCACCAAAAAGGGGAACGAAGCTGTAGCTTCCAGAGACCTGAGTGAAAACAACGACCAGAGACAGCAGGTAACTGGGGAATTTTTGCCAGGAGTTTCTAGAAGGTACCCCTATCTTGAAGCATTTTGTTTCTTTTCTGTGCTGCCTGGCTTTCTCTGGACTCTGCCCTCCCTTGTGCGCTTGGCTCCCTGAGATACAACAAAGCAGAACCTGGTCCTGGGATGACTGGACCCTAACCAAGGGTGCTGGCCTCCAGTCCCACTTCCCAGGCTCAGGGCTGTACGGGAATTATCGTATTTACAGCTCGCAGCCAGCCTGGGAGACAGTTGCTGTTTTCCTGATTTGAGGACCCCAGGCCCACGGGAGGGGGGAAGTTCTGTGGCAGCGTCACACCACCTGGTCAGTGGTAGAACCCATCAAGGCCTCAGGTCTGGCCGACTCCACGTCTCGTGCTCTCATTCCGCCTCCCGTGCAGAGCACAGCCCACGAAGCTGCTGCTCGAAGCCTTCTGGGTGATCTTTGGTTGGTTTTTAAAAAACTATAGCAGCTTTATTAAGATATAATTTGCATTCCCTATGATTCACAGAAAATTTACAATTCATGGGTTCTGGGTGTATTCACAAAATTATGCAGCCATCACCACAGTCAATTTCAGAACATTTTTATTGGCACAAAAGAAACTCTGTATCTCTTAGTTCTCTCTTCATTTACCTTCAGTCCCCACAGCCCTAGACAGCCAACTGCTAATTTACTTTGTGTCTCTTGATTTGCCTCATCTGGACAATTTCCTGTCAATAGAATCATATATGTGTGGCCTTTTGTGTCTGGCTTTTTTTTGAGAGGGCATCTCATTCTGTTGCCCAGGCTGGAGTACAGTGGCGTGATCTCGGCTCACTGCAACCTCCGCCTCCCAGGTTCAAGCGATTCTCCTGCCTCAGCCTCCCGAGTTAGCTGGGGTTACAGGCACCCACCACCAGGCCTGGCTAACGTTTGTATTTTTAGTAGAGATGGGGTTTCGTCATGTTGGCTAGGCTGGTCTCGAACGCCTGACCTCAAGTGATCCGCCCACCTCAGCCTCCTAAAGTGGTGGGATTACAGGCGTGAGCCACTGCGCCTGGCCTGTCTGGCTGCTTTGAGTATAAATGCTTCAGGGCTCATCAGGGTTGCAGCATGCATCAGTACTGCATTCCCTTCAGTGGCTGATTAATCCATCCTGTGGATGGACCACATGTGGTTTATTCGTCATCAGTTGATGGGCATTTGGAGTGTTTCCACATTTTGGCTATTATGAATAATGCCGTATGAACATGAAGCTTTTGTGTGGTCATATGTTTTCATATCTCTTGGATATTACCTAGGAGTAGAGCTGCTGGGTTATATGATAATCTATATTTAACCTATTGAGAAACTCCCAGACTTCTTCCAAAGTGGCCATACCATTTTCCACTCCCACCAGCAGTTCATGAGGGCTCGTTTCTTCACATCCTTGCCAACTCTTGATACTACCTTTTTCATGATACCCTTCCTAGCAGGTGTGGAGTGGTAGCTTATTGTCGTTTGGGTTTGCATTTCCCTAATAACTATGATATCCCTAATGATACTGAGCATCTTTTCACATGCTTCACTGGCCATTTGTATATCTTCTTTGGAGAAATGTCTATTCAGGTCCTTTGCTCATTTTTTAATTGAGTTATTTTTGAGTTGTAAGTTTTTAGAATCTATTTTACTAAAGATATAATGGACATATGATTTGCAAGTTTTTTTTTTTTTTCAATTCTGTGGGGTTTTTCACTTTCTTGCTGGTGTTTAGTTGAAGCACAAAAGTTCTTAATTTTGACAAAATCCATTGTATTTGTTTTTTCTTTTGTTGTGTGTTCTTGGTGTTGTATCTGGGAACACTTTGACCCAAGATCTTGAAGATTTCCTGTTGCATTTTCTTCTCAGAGTTTTATCATCCTTAGTTCTTACATCTAGGCCTGTGATTCATTTTCAGTTAATTTAATTCTTGCATATGGTGTGAGGTAGAGCTCCCGCTTCATTCTTGTGTGTGTGTGGATATCAAGTTGTCTCAGTATCACTTGTTGAAAGAAAGACTGCTTTTCCCCCACTGAATTGTCTTGGCACCTTTGTCAAAAATCAGTGTGCTGTAAGTATGAGGGTTTTCAGTGAGCCTGAGTCCCTTGGCTGTGTATGTCCCCTATGCTGCTTAGTACCCACTCCCTACCCCAGTGGGACAGAGTGGCTAGAATGCGCTGGAGTTGAGTAGCTTCCTTCTCCCATGTGGAAGTCTAGAGCTTACTGGAGTTGGGTGTTTCATTCCCCCAGGTCAGTTAGGCTCTGATAATATCCCAGCAGGGGCTCTGGGTAATACACTCCTCCTGAGGGCCAGCCTGGTTAAGGAGAACAGAGCTCTGTGGCCTGTTTCAGAATGGTTCCTTTCCCCGGCCACCTGCTGGAAGCACAAGCCAATTTTTCTCTGATATTTACTGAGAGCCTGGTTGAGCTCCTAGGGGTAAAACTTGTAAGTATGGGAGCCCTTTACGACTGGGGCAGCTTTTTTACTTTTTTTTTTCTTTCTTTCTTTTTGAGTTGGAGTTTCGCTCTTGTTGCCCAGGCTGGAGTGCAGTGGCGCAATCTTGGCTCACCGCAACCTCTGCCTCCCGGGTTCAAGCAATTCTCCTGCCTCAGTCTCCTGAGTAGCTGGGACTACAGGCATGCACTGCCACACCTGACTAATTTTGTATTTTTAGTAGATCTCGGGTTTCTCCATGTTGGTCAGGCTGGTCTCGAACTCCCGACCTCAGGGGATCAGCCCATCTCAGCCTCCCAAAGTACTGGAATTACAGGCATGAGCCACCACACCCAGCTGGGGCAGGTTTTTAACTCTCAGACTCATCCACACTGAGCCTCAAACAGTTCATACATGACAGGTCAGGCTCTCCCACCCCAACACCAGTTCCCTCGGTGACGTCTGCCCGAGCCTGTCCTGGTGAGCCGAGACTCACCGTATTGGACCCTGTCTCCAGGCTTGAGGACAGTGATTTACACTGTGTCCTCACCTCTCCTATGGATCCAAGAAGAGCTGGTAACTTTTCAGTCTGTTTAGCTTTTTACTTGTTGTTAGGACTGAGTGGTAACTTGTAAGCTCACGTGAGGAACTGAAAACTCGAAGTCTTATGTTCCTCCTCAGCACTGCTGGAGCTGCTTCCCATAAGTTTTGGTATGCTGTGTTTTTGTTTTGTGTCAAAGCATTTTCTTTTTTTTTGAGACAGAGTCTCGCTCTGTCGCCCAGGCTGGAGCGCAAGTGCCATGATCTCTGCTCACTGCAGCCTCCGCCTCCCGGGTTCAAGCGATGTTCCTGCCTCAGCCTCCCAAGTAGCTGGAATCGCAGGCGCCCGCCATGACGCCCAGCTAATTTTTGTATTTTTAGTAGAGATGGGGTTTCACCATGTTAGCCAGGCTGGTCTCAAACTTCTGACCTCTGGTGATCCGCCTGCCTCAGCCTCCCAGAGTGCTGGGATTGCAGGCGTGAGCCACCGCGCCTGGCTGGCCAAGCATTTTCTAATTTGCCTTGTGGTTTATTGTTGGACTCACTGGTGATATAGGAGTGTGTGGTTTAATTTCCAAATATTTGCAAATGTCACAAGTTTCATTCTGTTTTGATTTATAATCCATTCCATTGCTATTAGATAATTCACTTTGTGTGATTTTAGTTATTTAAGTGTATGGAGGCTTGCTTTGTGGCCTGCCATTTGTTCATCCCGGAAAATATTCCGTGTGTACCTGAGAAGCAGGTGCATTTCCCCTTGCTGGGCTGAGGGTTCTGGAGATGTTCGTTCTGTCAAGGAGCATTTGTGTTGTTCATGTCTTCTTTTTTGTTGATCTTCCGCCTAGGTATTTTATGATTCTATAAATGCTTCCCCTCAGCAGAATCTCTGCCCAGTTTTATTCCGTCTTGACAGTACTTTCTGGGAGACCTTGACTCAACCTCTTGTCTTCTGATGTACGCCACATGACCAGGGCGTGACCAGAGTAGACTGTGGCGTTTCTCGGGGTCTTGGTCGGAAGGATGTGGTGGGATTGGCGGGATTCTTGTACGGCTTCTGCTCACAGAGCCCTGCCCTGGCTTTCTGTGCTGTGCTTCTGTTTCAGCTTCAAGCCCTCAGCGAGACTCAGCCCAGGCAGCAGGCAGCAGGCCTGCCACGTGCAGAGGTGTCACAAGGGAAAGGAAACGTGCCCAGTAACAGCAAGTTCCAGACTCCAGCCCCCAGTTCCGAAGTGGTTTTGGATTCGAAGAGACAAGTTGAGAAAGGTAAGCAGAGCCCAGCAGTTGCCCTGTCCCCTGCTCTCCAGAGCCCCGTCAGAGGCAGTGGTCCCAGCGAGCTGCTGAGCAGTCAGCGAACCCAGCAGCGGGCAGCCAGGAGCGGGTGTGTCTCTCTGGGCACCTGGAATTGCGGCACTGGGGCTTCTTGTGTGTTTGACTGATGTCTCCTCCTCTAAACGAAGTGCCTTGTCCTTTGGCAGCTGTGTAGAGAAAGGCCCAGGCTGCACCTTTATGCAGGACATGGGTGGGCTTGTGGGACTCGGGGGAGGAGGCTGAGCCCCAGACACTGGGAACCAGGAGGCTGCTGTCCATGGGCAAGCCCCGGGTGAGCCTGCCTGCCCTGGCTCCCAAGTGCTTGTCTCCAGCGGACAAGACGATCAGGTCACTCAGCAGGACACCCTCTTCCCTTTGTGCCTTGTCAAGATAGAATTGAGTCCAGCTTTTGGTTTTTTTTTTTGGTTCCCAATCCATGATTATTACAGGGTGGTTTCATCATCGGCTCCAACTAGCATTTTTTGGTGATGTTGTATTGACGTTGAATAGACTTCTCAATCTACTAGTTGTTCAGATTCTTGAAGAACAATTCAGAGGGACAACTCCTGCCTTTTTAGTAGGCAACCACCAGAATTTTCGTTGGGGCAACAAGGATACACTTAGAAATTCCCCCTTTCAATTCACAGCACTTGGGGAAATGTGGCAGCAGCTCTGAATGAGGTGAAAAGACAAACGACACTGGGAGGCAATGATAGCACCCCACGGTGATTAAACGATCAAAACAAATGGTGGAGACTATTCTCAGATGGAAAATTTGTATTCCTACCCTAACAGCATAGCTTTATGCATTTCCCATTTTTCCTAATGACTGGAGTATAGATCTCTTATATTGCACTTTATAACATGGCACAATTATAAACTTAGGTTATGGAAGAACAATGCACAGGCCCCAACAAAACACGCCTGTAATTAGACTTTGGTTTTCAGAGAAGGATGAACAATGATTAGAAGATTCCTGGTTTTAGTTTACAGATCTAGTTCGTTTGGTCTAGAGTCTCCAGTTACACCCCTATGACACCGCACAATACTGAAAATCCTGACATCTGTTTACTTAGATCGATGATGATCATGTTTTGCAATTTGAAGGACTGTGATCAATAAACTTTGATTGTTCACTTCACATCTCATTGATGAACAAGAGATCTTTCCACAGAGTGCCTGAAAGGAGATGCGCTGTGGGGTAAACTCATATGGGACGAGATGAACAATTAAATATTGAAAAAAAGGTACCAACCATTTCAGGAAAAATTACGTGTCCTCAGATAATTTTTAAATCATAAATAGATTTTTCCTGGCCTTACTTATCTATGAACACTTAAATAGTTCCAAAAAAGTCAAAGAAAAAAGTACCTGAATATGAAGATGCACATAAGTGTGAACCAAATTGCTTTTGTGTGTAGCACTATATAGAGACACTAAACATATTTTGTTATTAGCTATTCTCGTTAGCATCTTCAAGGTTGTGAGTATAGTTTTCCTGGTTCTAGAGATGAATATAACGTTTGATCAGCTCTTTTTGAAATATTGAACTTTTCTGCTCTATGCATCGCGCCTGTGGGCCTTTTAGCTGGTTTTCTTTCCCTAAACAATGAATCATTGTACGCATAACGAAATCGTCCGTCCCTTCACAACAAATCAGCAATTATTCCTTTTGTCGTAATGCGAGCCAGAACGCCATGCGCGCTCCTCCTGCCCTTCTTACAAAAGCGTACTCATCCTGGAGCCTTTTCTAAACCTTTGTCTCCATACAGTCTTATTATGACTGACTAAGTATACCATAAATCTTCTGCCAATTCTCAGAAATTCGGGTGTTACTTGCTAGTCACCTAATCTTACAGCAATGCCTTGCCCGCGCTTTTTCTCGCGGGCACATATGGCCTCAGAACAGTGTTATCTCCAAACCACCCACAGTCGTCGCACAGCGGCTCTCTCTTCTCACTATCCGTTGAGACCTTCTATATTGCACTTGGGTTTCTTCTCTGGAACATATCCACTGCGATGGCATACCTCACTGACACCATGAACTTCCTTCACATATGAGGTGTCTGCATTTAGGTGACACCTGGCCCAACTCCAGGGCCGCATTACCCTAGTTGCAACAACTTTCCTAGGAATCTGCACAGGTAGACGAGTCTCAGTAATCATCGATGTCACTTCATTAGCCTGCAATGGTGGTTACTCACTGTTCCTAGTTTACGTTAAGAATGACTTTAATTATTTATACTCGGCACTAGAGAGACTAGACTCAAGAAATCCTCTATCTTTCACTGTTTCTATAGAAATATCGCCAAAATAGGTCTATTCAGGCCAGTGTATCTCTCAGGAAGGATCTGTATGTTAAAGACTTCCAACAGTATCTAGTCTGAGACTATTAACGCACTCTAGTGTCTCGCGATCCGTGTCTTACCGCCCCGAGCATCTTCTAGGGACGAATCTAGAATAAAGAACAATCGAGTTGGATGTAATGGGACTCTATATACATGTAATTAATAGAGACCATTTTGAGGTGCTAAGTAGTGTCCTGGGACTCTTAGAGAAACAGTGCTTAGATGGTATGTATAGCGTCTCGCTAGCAGGTACACAACGAGTCTTTTCTGGTAATACTTTCACGATCTTATATACCTTATACATACCTGAACTAGCCCTATTATATTGATCCACAAAATGTACTTTTCCCATGTCAGGATCTATTGTCTCCATCACCTAGCCTTATAAATAGATGAATATGCTATAGTGCTTTTCTTCAGCCATCTTCCACTATGAATCCAATCATATACAACAGTACAGTAGTCGATAGTGTAGATTGGGGAGTGATTGACATATCAACTCAAAAAATACTTTCTTGATCTTAATTTCCTATGGTTAAGAATCATGATCGCCTGATGTTATTCTAAATTCATCCAATGAACTTTTGGAATGTTATCTCCATAAGATGACGATGATAACCACCATCTCACATTGAGATAGTACTAATCAACCTGACCCTTTATATATATATATGTCTAGAAACTTACATGGGCATTCTCATTACCTTCTCCTCTCCCAGGGTGTTGTTCTCACCCGGGAGCTTTCATGTTTCTACTTCTTTCCCTTATATATAATGTAATGATATTAGGTGGATGGTTAAAGGTTCTGGATCTGTTTGCAAGTAATCAGAACAATGTCTCATTCCTAAATCATTTCACTGAATAAAAGATTTCTTTAACATAAATAAGTATTATGCAATAATAAAATAATAATCTTAAGACTGATGAACTTTAAGAGTAACATTGCATTTCACCCAATTGTCCCACTCATTATCCCTTTAACAAAAGAGATAAGATACATGATCCAGGATCCAATCACAGGTCACTGGAAAGCATTTAGTTCCCATATCGCTATGTCTTGTATTATCCTGGAAAGAGCTCATCAGTTTTTCTTGCCTTGCAACCAATCTTGACATTTTTTACAGGCATTTTGTAGAATGTCATCTCAATTTGGAATGCTACCGTATCAGTGATTAATATTCAGTTATACTTTTTTTTTTGGCAGCCATATCACCCGAGTTGATTTAACTCGTTCCAGTCATCAGGAGAATAATCCATTTGGTCCATTAGTGGTGAATATTACTTTGGTCATATTTGACATTAAGTAGTGATTGTGGGCATTCATCCATTGTAAAAGAGTACTTTTTCCTACTTATTAGTTAACAGGAAATGATTAGAGTAGATATATCTACTCCACTTGTTTTGAATAATTTTGAATTAACAGAAAGTTGTGAAAGTCATACCAAGTTCAATAATTGTATCTAGCTTCCCACACATAGCAATTCATAAAAAAATGATCAAAAAGTACTTTTAACAAAACTACAGACCGTTACTGCAATTTCATCAGTTTTCCCCCTAGTACTTTTTTCTATTCCAGGATCCCCACATTGCTTTTTTTATGGTTGTGTTTCTTAGTCTCCTCCAACCATGTGACTGTTCTCCCTGTCATTTCTTGTCTTTCATGATGATGAACCTTGTAATGAGTCTGCGGGTTATTTGTTGTGTAGACTTTCTCTCAATTAGGGTTTGTATTCTGTATTCTCTTGATTAGATGAGGTTATGCATTTGTGGCAGGATGCTACAGAAGTGGGCCATTGTGTTCTCAGTGTGTGATAATGGGGAAAATCATGTTCATATAGCTATTGCTGGTGGATTTAACCTTGCTCATTTTTGCCTGAGTAGTGTCTGCTGGGAGATTTCTCCATTTATAAAAAGTCACTTATTTTCCTCCTTTGTGGAACCTGATCAATATCTAGGGGAGATACTTTGAGCTATGCAAATATATTTAACTTTCTCCTGAAACTTTCACCATCGATTATACGCATCTATTGATGGATATTACCTGGCACAATTATTACTGTGTCGATTGATTAATGGTGAGTTTTGCTGATAATACTGTTTTCCAAAAATTTCCACATCATTAATTTTAGCATCCACTGATGATTCTTGATCTAAACAGTTATTAGTATGTGATGGTCAGAATGGTGATTGCGCGCGACGCTAGATCGTTCCAATCTTGTCTCTTAATGATGCGAAGCATGAATTTTTCAGGAGCGTAGACTAGAGTTGGTAAATTCCTAATTGTCAGCTGTGAACCCATAGAATTCTATTTTATGTAGTCCTAATGCTAGACTCTATACTAGTGCAAACCAGGGTTGCTTTGGGAGAAACTATGAATTTCCAGACGGATATTAAGACAATTCTATCGGCTAATAGCCAGTCATCCTTTATAATTTAGGAGGTGGTTTTATTAACTTTAATTGGCTGCTAGATATATACGTCGGCCAATTACTAACCATTTGTTTAGCACCCTACAAGTTTCTGCAAAGACTTCCTTAAAACTCTTTGAAATATGTATTTTGTTTGGTGTCCACAGCTAGTTTGGTTTAGCTGCCACTTACTGAATATCTTTGTATAGACCAGTCCTTTTTGCTCTATTTTCTGAAATCTTTTTTTTTTGGTGGGAGGATTGTTGGAGTAAGTACACGTGCCTGCTATAACAAATACTACAAATACCCTAGTCCTCAAGTAGCTAAAACAATAAAAGTTTTGTTGTTGTCTGTTGTTGTTGTCTCACGGAAAGTATAATGTAAATTTTCCTACAGGGGATGATCTTTTGCATGGTCCAGTTAAAGAACCAGGCTTATTATCATTGGCGTCGGCCTCCCCGCTCCTAGGACCTTGCCAGGCTCTCCACATTTGATGACAGATAGAGTAAACGAAAGAATTTGGAGAACTGCCTTGGGGAGATTCCTAATGGCCAGGCTGCGAAATGGCAAACTACGTGCCGTGTGCTTTGTACTCCTTGGCTAGACCCCCAGTCACGTGGCTATTCTTACCTGCAAGGGAGGCTGCGGAAACTCACATTACGCTTATGACTGGTATGCCCCAGGGAGGTGAAGGAAATGATCTTTCGCTTGAAACAATAGCAGTTTTCTGTCAGTTTTTGATTTTAGAGGGTTATCATATGGCACATGGAAGCCCAAGTGCTTGGCTGAGAGGAGACTAATTATGTGCCCTGTGTTGACTGCATCAGTGTAGGGGGGACATTGTTTGACGCTAAGCCTCAGCCTACTTTACTAGAAAGAAGGTTCCTGACTAACTCTACGTTGTCCTTCTTTGATACCAGTTGAAGTCATGCCCGCTAATCATTCATTTTTGTCATTTGTTAACTGGAATGTTCTTAGAAAATAGACACTTCGGCTGGGCGTAGTGCACACGCCTGTAACCCAGCCTTTGGAGGCCAAGGAGGGTGGATCACCTGAGGTTAGGAGTTCAAGACCAACCTAACATGGTGAAACCCCGTCTCTACTAAAATATAAGAAAATTAGCTGGGTGTGGTGGCGCATGCCTGTAATCCCAGCCTATTGGGAGGCGTGAGGAAGAATTGCTGAACTCAGGCAGGCGGAGGATGCAGTGAGCTGAGATTGTGCCATTGCACTCCAGCCTGGGCAACAAGAGTGAAACTCCGCCTCAAAAAGAAAAAAAAAAAAAAAAAAAAAAAAGACACTTCGTGGTATTGTTTGTTTAAGTAACAGGATAAAATGCATGATGTTTTTCACTTCAGTGGTAATTGTTTGTATAAGGTAGAATTAGGATAAATGCTTGATTTTTTTCCTTTTTATTTAACAGTTTTCATGACTGAATTATTTTCCCTCTTCCTCTGAGTGTACTACTTTAAAATATCATCATACTTCAGAATTCAGCAGAAATCCTCAGGCAGCAGGAGTAGTTGTAACAACTACTTCACTTCAGTTTTGGCCTTGCTGATCTTGCCGTCGCTCTGTCTTGTCTTTTTCTGACCAAGTCTTGCTTTGTTGCCCAGGCTGGAGTGCAGTGGCATGATCTCGGCTCACTGCAACCTCTGCCTCCTGGGTTCAAGCGATGCTCCTGCTTCAGCCTCCCAAGCAGCGTGGGACTCGAGGTGCGCGCCACCATATTCAGCTACTTTTCGTATTTTAGTAGAGACATGGGTTTCACCATATTGGCCAGGGATGGTCTCGATCTCCTGACCGTCGTGATCTTCCAGGGGGGGGGGGGGGGGGGGGGGGGGGGG